AGAGATGGAGACAGAGAGGGAAACGGAGAAAGAAAGACAAAGAGAGACAGACAGAGAGAGACACAGAGAGAGAGGGGTATTCAAAATCAGGAGATGATGAGTACATGAAAAAGGACAAATAATACTAAATGCAGGGGAGATCTATAAAGACAAATATTCAGAAATAGAGCAAGCTGGTTCCTTGGTGTGTTGAAGAGAATACTAGGCTAGGAGTCAAGATACAAAGAAGGTCAAATTGTGCCAGGCTGGACAGATCACTGAGCCTCAGTTTCATTGTTTTATAAATGACGCCAATGATGCCTAACCTGCTGACTACATGAAAACACTGTGAGAAATCAAATGAGATGAGTTCTAGGGAAACTGTTTGAAAAGGATTAAGTGGTATATAAGGAATTTAGCAATAGTGCTATTTTCTAAAGATCCTTCTTTCTCCCATGTGCCTCACTACACACACACACACACACACACACACACACACACACACACACACACACACACACACTGACAAGGGAAGGAGAGGTCGTTTCTCACTAGTGGGCCCGGGGTCAGACATACATTTAACAAAGTCGACGTTCTGTTAGCCCATTAGTGTTTCTCAGAATGAGTCATTATTTTTTTTTCAAAAATAACAAATGCTATCGACATCACTCTATTTCAGCACTCTTGCTCAGATCTTGTAACTTCTTTTGCAATTGCATTCCAAACAAACCCAGCTACTTTCTCAGGCCTGAATGCAAGTTTCTCTTGTATTACAAAAAGGCTATGAAGGAAAGCAATTTTAACACTTCGTAAGGTTCTCTTTCAAAGGATGGACCAGAAATGACTGGGATACAGGAATTACTGGTCTGAGATATTTACCATTGGACTTGGGCAACTACTCTAACCTAGTTTTTATTTCTGTATCTATCATTCAATCATTCAACTAATTTATTGAGTACCTCCTTTTCTGTGCTAGGCAATGAGGCAGTTATGGTGTAACAAAAAAAATATAATAATAATAAGCTCAGCACCAGGAACCTGGATTCAAATTCTAATTCCTTCACCAACTAACTGTGACATTGAGTGAGTCACCTCTCTGAGCCTATATTTTGTCACCTAGCAAATAAGTAAGCTAGATTAGATATTCCCTAAAGCACCTTCCAGTGACATTACTCTAACAATTTTGTGAAGGAGTCAGGATCCCTGAACTCAAGGAACCTAATAGAGTAACAAAGGTTACCACATTCTCTCTTCATATCCTCAGTTATGACTCTTTCATTTCCCTCATACCCCAAATCTAATCAGTTGCCAGGTCACACTGTTCTCTTCTTTCCACTCAGTCTGCCACCACCCTAGTCCAGGCCTCCACACAGCTGTCATTCATAGTCCTAAAGCATAGGTCTGACCATGTCATTACCCTGCCCAACAAGCTCCAGGGAGCACCTCTTGCCTCTAAGATAAAATACAAATTGCCCTACTTAACTTGTAAAACCCTTCCCAGTCTCGCATCAGTCTACCCTCCCAAGCCTATAACATATCACTGTCCTTCACATTCTGTGTTCTAAGCAAACTGGCCCCACTTGCTGTCTCCTGTACATGACATTCCAGTTCCCATCTATGAAGGCTGTAGCCCAGGCCTACAAGGTGCTCCCTACTCACCTCTGCCTCATAGTATCTATCATTGGCTTCCCTTAAGGTATAACTCAAGCACTGACTGCTGCTGCAGGAGCCTTATCCTGACTCCCTACTGCTAGTATTCTGCCTTCTTAATACCCCCCTTGTCATTGCTTTGTGTTCACTTTGTATGAATTTTATATTTATTTTTCTGAGTACATTTTGTTTCTTCTCCACCACTCCTACCTCATAGAATATGAGCTCTTTGAGGGCAGAAACAAATTTGTTTTTGTCATTCATTCATTCAACAAACTTATATTAAGTATCTACAGTGTGCCAGGCACTATTCTAGGTGCTTGGGGTTACAAAGACAAAAAAATGAAATAATCTCTGCTTCAAGGACCTTACATTATATTGGGAAAGTGGAGGTAAACAGTGATTACATGCAAAGTAATTTCTTAGGAGAGAGTATTATCAACTGGGAGAATCGGTAAGGGTTTCTCATAGAGGGTGAGCTTTGAAGCTTTGAAGCAAGTAGGAATTCTATGAAGCAGAGATTAGGAAGGAAAGCGTTTCAGGCAAGATGGACAGCATAGAGATGGAAGATGAAATGATGGGTATAGGGAACAGCCATCACGCCAGTGTGCCCAGGATTCAGAGTATGTGGAGCCAGTTATTTTTTAGGCACTCAATAAATGATTGTTGACATTTTGCAGATCAATTTGGAACTATGCCCAAAGGGCTATAAAGCTGTGTATAGCCTTTGATTCAGCCATACTACTATTATTAAGTCTGTATCCCAAAAAGATCAAAAAAGATGGGAGAGGAGGGGGAACCTATTTGTACAAAACCATAGCAGCTCTTTTAATGGTGGCTAAGAATTGGAAACTGAAGAGATGCCCACCAATTGGGGAACGGTTGAATAAGTTGTGGTATATGATTGTAATGGAATGTTGTTGTGCTATAAAAAATGACAAGCAAGATGATTTCAGAAAAAACTGGAAAAACTTAGATGAACTGATACAAAGGTCTGTTGCTTGCCATTCAAGAGGTTTTCATGAAATAGCATCTCTTCTCTTTGACTTATATGTTTATCCTACACATATTCATTGAACCTGAAGAGGACAAAAAATACCTATTTGTTTTAGAACTTGGATGAGAGATAAAAGGAGTGGGAAATTGTGGAATGGTAAGAGAACTAAACCGGCTGGTTTTATCTTTCTTTTGGTTTTTCCCCATCTCATCTCACAGGCTGACTTTGGTAAGGCACTTCAGGAGTTACTGCAGGTGCTCCAGTAAAAGAAATGGTTCTATGGAGCTGGGCTGAGGTGACTGGAAATGTTCCAGCTTCCCTTCAGGCCCCTGAGAAAGATCTTGACCTGGGCTTCAACTTTGCTCAAGCTTGGTCAGCTTCCCAGGGATTCCAGCTCCTCTTTGGAACCGGGCCACGAGCTCTTGCCTTCAGCCCAAGGGCTGTCTCCTTTCATTATATTCTTTTCTTTTTAAAAAATAATATTTTATTCCCCCCAATTATGTATTAAAACAATTTTTAACATTTTTTAAAAGTTTTGAGTTCCAAATTCTATTCCTCCCACCCTCCCTCCCCTGCCCGTCTCTGAGATGGTAAGCAATCTGATATAGATTATACATGTACCATCAGGTAAAACATTTCTGTATTAGTCATTTGTAAAAGAAGACAAAGAAAGAAAGAAAGAAAGAAAGAAAGAAAGAAAGAAAGAAAGAAAGAAAGAAAGAAAGAAAGAAAGAAAGAAAGAAAGAAAGAAAGAAAGAAAGAAAGAAAGAAAGAAAGAAAGAAAGAAAGAAAGGAAGAAAGAAAGAAAGAGAATAAAAAAAGTATGCTTCAGCCTGTATTCAGACAATATCAGTTCTTTTTCTGGAGGTGGATAGCATGCTTCATCATGAGTCTTTTGGGATTGTCTTGGATCGTTGTATTGCTGAGAATAACTAAGTCATTCACAGGTGATCATCATGCAATATTGCTGTGTATAACATTCTCCTTGCTCTGTTTACTTCGCTTTGCAGCAGTTCATGTAAGTCTTTCCAGGTTTTTCTGAAATCATCCTGCTTGTCATTTCTTATAGCACAATAATATTTCATCACAATCACATACCACGACTTGTTCAGCCCTTCTCCAATTCATGGGTATCACCTCAATTTCCAATTCTTAGTGGCCACAAAGAGCTGCTATAAATATTTTTGTACAAGTTGCTCCTTTTCCCTTCCTTTCATTATTTTCTAAAGTTCCATGAGCACTGAGATCCAGCTAGAGAGGTGTGGAGTCTCCTACCCTCCGAGGAACCTGAGCTTACTTGACTTTCAAGATTCATCTATGCCATCTAGTTCTTGATTAACAGCACTCCCCGCCCCCACCCCCGCCTCTCACACACACACACACACACACACACACACGCATGCACAGACACATGGCACACACACTCTCTCTGTCTCTGTCTCTCCTCTCCTCTCTTTTCCTCTTATCTTCTCTGTCTCTGTCTCTTTCTCTCTCCATCTTTGTCTCTCTGTCTCTGTCTCTCTTCCTCTCCTTCCCCCCACATACATAGCCTTTCATTATGGCATCCATTCTCTCTTTCCCTTTTTCTTCTTGCAGGCAGTAACATACTGCAGACCCTGAGTGTTTTATTCTAGAGTTTAGTCAGCATGCTGTAATAGGAGGTAGTGTAGAGTTGTAGATAGAGCATTAACCTTGGAGGTCGGATGTCTGGGTTTGAATCCTGCTATGTGACAATTACCAAGTCCCTTAACCTCTCTGAGCCTCAGTTTACTCATCTTTAAAACACAGATAATATTTGTGCTCAAGGGAGAGGAAGACTGGTATAGTCAATAGAGCACTGGACTTGGAATTAAGAAGATGTGTTTGACTCTTACGGCAGCTAGATGGATAGACTGGATAGAGGTGAATAGGGTGCTGGGCTTAGATTCAGAAAGATTCATCTTCCTGAGTTCAAGTCCACCTTCAGACACTTACAAGCTATGTGACCCAGAACAAGTCCCTTGACCTTTCTTGCCTCAGTTTCATCATCTGTAAAATGAGTTGGAGAAAGCAATGGCAAACCACTGCAGTATCTTCTCCAAGAAAACCCCAAATGAGATCACAAAGAGTCAGGGCTGAAAACAACAGAACAACAGCTGAGCTTGCTTCATACATAAACTTGTTAGCTATTAGACTGTGGGCTAGCCACTTAACCTCTCTTTGCCTCAGTTTCCTCTTCTGTAAAAAGAGGGAGATTTACTTGATAACCTCTCAGATTCCCTCCCAATCTAAACCTATATTCTTATGACTTGGAATCAAAAGGGAACTGGACTTTATTACTACCAATGGAGAATATTAGCTATGCATATGTAATTCCTTTCATCTCTGGGTCTCGATTCCTTCATATGACAATTAAATTAGATGACATATAAATTCCCATCAAGGTCTTCATCTATGATTCCCTCATCCTGTGAACCTCTCCAAGTCTCAGTGTCTTCACCTGTAAAATGGGAATAATAATCCATTTAGTACCTGCATCCCTGAATTATTGTGAGGATCAATGAAGGTCATATCTGTGAAACACGGCAAACCTTGTAGCTCCATGTTGTCAGTTATTATTATTGTTGTTATTGTTGCCTATGTCACCCATGATAGGCAGGATGGCATGGTGAAAAGACAACCAGTTAAACCATAATCCGCAGCATGCCCCCTCACTGTGGGTGTTACTTCAGCCATCTCCAGTCATCCTGATCTACATCTCACCGCTGGACCCAGATAGCCCCAGAGGAGAAAGTGAGGCTGGTGACTTTGCACAGCCCTGCCTCACTTAAATCCAATTCACTTGCAAGTCATGGCATTACCTTTCTGATGTCACAGTCTTCTTTGAGAATGAAGGACAAACAGCAGCAACCCTAGCTCTGTCCTCTTTTTTTCTCTCTACTTTCCCTCTCTTTGTAGCTTCAACAGCTCATGTGGGCTTAATTATCTCTACGCTGATGATTTTCAGAACTATTTCCATGGCTGGTCCCTCTCCTGAGCTCTAGGCCCACATTGCAAGCTGCCTACTGGATGTTTCAAACTATGTATCTCATAGCCATCTCAAATTCTATATGTCCAAAACTGAACTAATTTTCTTTCGCTACCACATCTACTCATCTTCTTAACTGAGCACTGGGCCTGGAGTCAGGAGGACCTGAGTTCAAGTCCAGCCTCAGACACTTACTAGCTGTGTGACCTTGGGCAAGTCACTTAACTTCTGCTTGCCTCAGTTTTCTCAATTATAGAGATAATAATTGCACCTATCTCCTGGGATTATTGTGAGGACTGAATGAGATAATATTGTAAAGCACTTAGCATAATACCTGGCACATAGCATGTGTTATATAAATGTCAACTATTATTGTTATTATTATTATTACTAATATTTCTATTGAGGGCACTATGTTCTTCTAATCTCCCAGAATCATAGTGTCAGCATTATTTTTAACTGCTCATTCACCCTCACCCCACATAGTCAATCATGTCAAATCTTGTCATTTTGACCTTCATAATATCTTAGGATCCCCGTAACACCCCCTTCTCTCCTTTCACACAGCTCCCATTCTAATTCAAGCCCTTATGACCTCTTGCTTGGGTATTGTAATAGCTTCCTAGGTATTCCTACCTTAAGTCTCTTCACTCCCCAGGCTCTCAAACTAATTTTCCTAAAGCATAAAGTTGATCATTTATTGTTCTTCAGTTATTTTTAGTCATGTCTGACTCTTCATGACTCCATTTGGGGTTTTCTTGGCAAAGATACTGAAGTGGTTTGCTATTTCTTTCTCCTGTTCATTTTACAGATGAGGAAACTGAGTTAAACAAGGTTAAATGACTTGCCCAGGGTTACACAGCCAGTAAGTGTCTGAGGCTGGATTTGAACTCAGGAAGATGAGTCTTTCTGACTCTACGCCCAGCACTCTATGCACTGCACCACCTAGGTGCCCCTTAAGTTAGATCATGGTATTCCCCTACTGAATAAATTTCAGTGGCTTCTAGGATCAAACATAAGTTTCTCTCTTTCACATATAAAACCTTTCATCATTTGCCCCAACCTACCTTTCCAGTCTGATTACCTCTAACTCCCCCTCTACTCACACAGAGCTCCAGCCAAACTGTCCATTCCTTTGTTATATATAATACTCTTCCCACCTCTGCGTCTTTGCAATAGCTGTCTCTGCCCCCCACCCTCATGCTTGGAATAAACTGCTTCCTCAGTTTCCTCATTTGTAACCTAGCTCCCAGGGTTGTTGTAAGGATCAAATGAGATAATAATTGTAAAGAGCTTGACGCAGTGCCCCAAACATAGTTAATGCTATATGAATCTTGGCTATTATTGTTATCATTATCATCATCATTATTGTTGCTATTATTATTATTATCTGCATTGGTAGACATGGTTTCCTCACAGGCAATTCCTTTCACCTACAAATCACAGATCTTGAAGGAAGGGTAAAGGAAACCTTTTCTAATAGTGTTGTTACAAGAACACAATGTGATCATGTATGAAAAGAACTTTGGAAACCATAAAATTATACATGTCAGCTATTGTTCTTCACAAGAGAAAAGTATTATTGTCTCTTCAGGAATATAGGTGCATTTAAAACAAATGTGCCTATAAAAGGGAACTACATGGTCCTACACTGGGTGGTATCAAATCTTTAAGGAAAATATTCCATCCCTGAGACACGCCTTGTGCATTGTCAGCTGGCTAAGGGCACACACAGGGTGCCCAGATCCTTCATTGCCTTCCAAACTGCCGGATTTCTAGTCCAGAAATTTGCAAGAGTGTGGTGTTGTCACAGTTTGGTTCTTTGCCTCCAAATTCCCAAGGTCTGTGGGACATTGCCCTAAGTAGGGGCTTGTCAGCCTCTAGCTGAAAACTGGTTGAATGATGAGGCATTACAACACTTCTTCAGTTCCAGGGCTCAGGTCAATCAGCTTCTTCCTCTGCATGGCTCCCTGAGAACCCCAGGTCCCAGACAGATTTAGTGGGGAAAGGAGGGTGGCATGTTGCCTTTGCTGCCTTCTGCCCCCAGTGATTTGAGATTGGATCTCTTGGGCATTCTGGCCTGAGGTGATTTATCCATTCTATAATCCCAGTCTCACCCTTATCCAGTTAGGAAGCTTGATTCCTGGTACCCTCTACCTACTTTCCTGTCTCATTACTAAGCTAGGACCATGCACTTCCTCTGTTCAAACAGAGAGGATAGAAAGAACTATCACAATTAGAGCTTCTCCTCCCCCACCTCATCATCCAGAAAACAGGATAACACAGCCCAACACTAATTTGCAAAATAAAAATAATAACTCATCTTATAATATCTAAAGTTGAAAGGTATCTTAAAGCTCACTGAGTCTAACTTTTTTATCTTTATAGATGAGGAAACTAGCCACCAGAGAAGTGATATGACTTACCCATTGTCACACAGTATTGGTAGAGGGGATTTCCTCACAAGGAGTTCCTTTTACCTGCAAAATCACAGTAAATGGTAGAGTCAGGATTTGGACATATGTCTCGGGCAACAGATGCCATGCTCCCTATATTATATTACTACCACAACCTTCTCTGAAAAAGAGAGGAAAGGTTCCAGGAAAAGAAGGACTGAGGCAATATTATACCTTTTTTGTTTTGTGCGTCCTCATTTAAACCTCCAAGTCAGTCATTTAGTGGCCACCCTCCTCCCCCACCAAATCCATCAGGGACCTAGGGTTCTCAGGGAGCCATGCAGAGGAAGAAGCCAAATATCCTGAACCCTGGAACCGAAGGAGTGTTGTAATGCCTCATCATTCAAACAGCCTTCAGCTAGAGGCCGACAAGCCCCTACTTAGGGCAATGTCCCGCAGACCTTGGGAATTTGGAGGCGAAGCACCAAACTGTGACAACACCACACTCTTGCAAATTCCTGGACTAGAAATCCGGCAATTCTCCTAAACTAAGTCAGCATCTTCTCTTTGCTCTGTTAGAAAGGATAATGAAAGGGTCATTGGTTAGTGACCCAAGAACCAACCACCGTTCCAAAGGACTCATGATGAAATAGACTCCCTACCTCCTGATACAGAGGTAATGAACTCAAAGTGCAGATTGTGACATACGTATTTTTAGACATGTTCAATGTGAGAATTTGTTTTGCTTGACTATGCATGTTCATAACAGCAGACTCTGTTTTTCTTATTTTCTTCATGGGGGCAGGTTGGGGAGGGAGTGAGAAAGAGAGAAGGCAGCTCTTCACTTGAAAAGAAAATCAATTCCATTTTTCAAAAAAGGAGAGAGTAGCAACTCTCACAATGCCTCCTCTTCTCTCTTTCTTGTGGGACTATGTTTGCACATGAAACCTAGGTTTATGACTTCAAAAGAAATGAGACATGCAAATTTAGAGCCATCTTCACTCCAAATGTTTACATGGATTATTTGTGCCCAACCTATGGTAGAGCCTTCCAAGCTTGTATTGGTCTGATCAGCCATAGTCAGACACACTGTACTTTGACCCCAACATAGTAATGTCATTTTGGTCCTCTTCAAGCCTGAAGGACAACAACCAACATGATTTCATTGGTGTAAGGAACTTCCAGTGAGAAAAATCCCTCTTTCCATGCAGATTAGTATTCTCTCTGAAATATGTATCCTTTATAGGTTGTCTGAGGCACAAGGAGGTTAGATGACTTGAACCCAGGTCTTTCTCACTCAAAGATCATCTCTCCATTTGTTATATGAAGCCTGCTAATCCTCATAGATAAGACCTACGGAATTAACAAAGCCTGAGAAAAGTTACAGATAATAGACATACTGGTTGGTATTTTATAGCACTTTTTTTTTTGGAGCCTGGGTCCCCTTATCTCTCCCAGGTTTGAAATGCGCCAACCCCCTCAAGGTCCTCACGGTTTATTGGCATGGGTATTTATTTTGCTTCATTTCCAACCAGGGCTGGATTAGCACTCCTTAGGCAACCTCTTGGGCCCCTACTTTCATAGGCTCACTATATTAGTACAGGATTTATAATATCTGAAGTTGAAAGGTATCTTAAAGCTCACTGAGTCTAACTTTTTCATCTTTATAGGTGAGGAAACTAGCCACCAGAGAAGTGATATGACTTATCCATTGTCACACAGTATTGGTAGAGGGGATTTCCTTACAAGAAGTTCCTTTTACCTGCAAAATCACAGTAAATGGTAGAGTCAGGATTTGGACATATGTCTTCAGGCAGCAGATGCCATGCTCCCTATGTTATATTATTATCACAGCCTTCTGTGGTAATCAGCTTACCCCTAACATACCTCAGAACTCTTATATTCAAGTAACTCACCAGCCTTAGCTTCTCCTAGTAGCAGGGATTATAGGCATACATCCTCACATTTGGGGGTGTATGTCTGCATGCCTTATATTTTAGTTTTCAGGGCATTTTATATATGTTGTCTACCACCATAGATTTGCTACTAAGACTTATCACAGAACCTCAGAGCTGGAGAGACCACAAACATTGTCTCTTTAAACCCATTCATTTGGCATATGAGTACCAAAAGGCCCAAGGGTTAAGTGACTTCATACCTTCTATAAAGAACTCTTTCAGTCTGAGCAAGAACAGTCTAGTGGTATAGAAGGTTCTAGTTATATTCCCTGTTCAATGGAACACCAAGAATAAATGGATGGATGGATGGATGGATGGATGGATGGATGGATGGATGGATGGATGGATGAAAAATCACTTATTAAGCCCTTATTTAATGTGCCAGGTACTGTGAAGTGAAGGGGATACAAATATAAATGGCAGGGCAATTGCTGCCCTTGAAATGCTTGCTTTCTAATGGAGGAAGACAACACATATAGGGGAATAACATCAAGGAAGGGGTGTTTTGGTCAAGGAAGTCACAGGGAGGGTGAGTAGAGTCGTAGAACAATTAGTTGACATGTTCTTTCCCAGAATGGCTTTTATCACCATTCCCAAAGACCCAGTCTTCCTCAAAGGCTAATAATAATAACTTACATATAGTATCACAAAAGACCAAGATCCAGAGCTAAAAGGGGCTTTGGAGGCTATCTAGGCTAACTTGATCATTTTATGGATGAGGAAACTGAGGCCCAAGAAAGTTAAAAAAAACCTTTTGTCCAGTTCCATTCTAAGAATAAATAGAAACCGAGATTTGAATCCAAATCCAGTGGTCTTTATCCTCTATCTGCCTGCCTATGTGATGTTGTCAGATGAGGTAGTGGACACTTTGTGTAGTGGAAAGCACTGTCAGAAGATCTGTTTGAAACCCAGCTCTGCTACTGCCTGAACTTTCTACTTTTTCCTGATAACAACCCTGTGAGGCAGGGAATGCAAGAATTATTATCTCCATTTTATAGAAGAGAACACTGAGGCACTGACAGGCTGTGACATAGTATGTGATACAGTCCCACAGATAATAAATGTCTGAGGTGAGAATTGAACTTAGATCTCCTGACTCCAAGTCCGGCTTTCTCTCTGTGACACACCAGAGGACCAGATCCTTGACCTCCAAAGGCCAATGTGCCTGAAGCTCCATTCAGATATTCATTAGTGTGGAACAGGGGAAATGGAGTTATATAAGAGGAAACCCCAGGAAAAAATTCACAGGACTTAAATCAGGAGGCTTGGGTTAGAAGACTGAGAGTCTGCCACTGACTGACTATATGACCTTTGGGCAAGTCGCTTCATGTCTCTTTTCAGATTCCTCATATTTTAAATTAAAGACTTGGAGTAAATGATCTTGAAGTCCCTTTCAGCTCTAAAGAATTCTGTGATCCCAAGATGTGGCTGCAGGACCACCTCCAGGCACAGTTGTGAAAAAGCTTCCATTTATATATTAACAATTTACAAAGTGCATTCAATTCAACAAACATAGATTAAGCACTTACTGCGTGCAATCTGGGCTACCATGTGCAAGGCACTTGTGCTTACTCCTGTGGCATGCAGGTATAAGTAAAATTGGTATTTGGCACCAACCATCCCCCCCACCCCCACATTCCCTGCCTCTCAGGCTATCCCTGAGTATGTTGAGATGTCTAAGGTGGCATTAGGGTTTCTCTCCCTGCACAGGTTCCATGGTACATAGGGCAAGGTAAGGAACACTGAATTTTGAGTCAAAGGACCTGGGTTCAACTCTTGACTCTGATACTTATTGTGTAACCTCAGGCAAGTGATATCCTTTCTCTGGGACTCAGTTTCCTGGACTGTAAAAAGAAGGAATAGGGCTAGTTGATCTCTAAGAAGTCTTCCAACTCTATGTTCAAAGTCTAATATATGATCCTATGAACTCCTCACACCCTATCCAAACTTTAGCTATTTTTATACTTACTTATTTTCATATTGTCCTTTCCCATAGACTGTTAGCTTCTTGAGAGGAGGAACTGGATTGTTGTTTTTCTCATTTGGAAGGTGGGGGGGGGGGTCTTTGTATTTACAGTGCTTAGTACAGTGGCTAGAACATAGCAGGTTCTTAATAAATGCTTGTTGTTTTGACTTGACTTGACCTAAGCCCGACCAGTACTTTCCTGAGATTATTTTTTTCCCCATTAGTCACAGCCCTTCTGAAGATCATGCCTTAACTTCAAATCCAACGCCTTTTTCTCCCTTGAATTTGTTACCTTTAATCTTTCTGTAACATTTGACATCATCGACTTCCCATTCCTCCAAGGCACATTTTTCTCCCTTGGTTTCAGAGACTCCACAGCCTTCTGGTTCTCCTTTTACCTCTCGCCCTGCCCCTTTCCTGTCTCTGTCACTGACTCCTCTTCTTTTTGATCCCTGATTGCTGGTGTTCCCCGGGTTTCTATCCATGATAATCTTCTTTCTTTATTTCCTCTCCTTTGGCTATTCCATCAGCTGTCATGGTTTCAACTTCCATCTCTGTACAAATGACTGTCAAATCTACATCTACAATCCTGACTGCCAATGTTTCTATCTGCCCACTGAAGATCTTTGTCAGATATTCTGACAGTACCTCGGTCTCAAACATATCTCTTTCCCATGTCTCCCAGTTTAGTCCTCAAGGGCCTAATAAAACATATATAATTGTTTCCTCCCACATACACACGTGTAAGAGCCTTTCAAATATTTGAAGATAGATATCCTTCCCACCCCCTGGTCTTCACTTCTCCAACTTAAACATGCCCAGTTTTTTTAACTAATTTTCATGTGACGTGAACTAAAGGCTCTTTACCTTCCTGATTGCCCTTCTCTGGACTCTTCTCCAGCTTATGAATGTACTTCTTAAACTGTGGAACCCTGAAATTAGCACAATCATCCAAATGTGTTCTGACCAAAACAGGACAGAGTTCAATCCATTTTTCAGTCCTAGTCCAACTCTTCATAACTCCATTTGGAGTTTTCTTGGCAATGATACTGACTGGAGTGGTTTGTCATTTCCTTCTCCAGCTCATTTTACAAATGAGGAAACTGAGGCAAACAGAGTGACGTGACTTGCCCAGGATCACACAATAAGTGTCTGAGACCAGATTTGAACTCAGGAAGATGTCTTCCTGACTCCAGGACCAGCACTCTATCCGCTGTGTTACCTAGCTGCCCCACAGGGCAGAGTACAGGAAGACCATCCCCTCCTCAATCCTGGAAGCTTTGCTCCTCTTGGTGGAGCCTAACATGGCATTCATTTTATTTTTTTGGCTGCCACATAACACTACTAACTCATAGCGAGCTTCTGGACTACTAAATCCTCTGGGTGATTTTCAGAACAACTGCTTTTAAACCATGTTCCCCCCAACTTACACTTTGGAAGTTGGTTTTTGTGCCCATGAGTAAGATTTTGTA